ACAAGTAGCAGCTATGCAATCTACGTTTTCAAGTTGTTACACTTGCTAATGACTAACTAGCGCAGGAATCACGTGATTTCTAGCTTCTCAACTGTCACAAATACATGGCTTTTATTGTGGAATTAAAAGTCTATCAACACAATTTTAGCAAATACTCGCAACTTACAGCAGAAACATTAGGTGATAGTGTAGTGAATGAGAACACAGGTGGGGCAACCGGATTGTATTTAACGGAAATTACAGAGTTACTCAGTAAAATAGGAAAACTATATCGTAAACGGTTAATTTGCAAAATATCAGTTCATCATATCAAACTGGACTGTTCCTGTTGCAAAACATCAATCCAATGTCACTGTTCATGCGTTTCATACAAATTCCATTGTGTTCCCACTCTTCCTTTCTTAATCTTCCCCCATCTTCTCTTCTGCCAGACATTACGTTTACACTCACGTCAACCACAAGTGAGAAACAAGTAACACCAAAACAACAGCCACAGCCATTAGAAGAAATCGTCTACAACACTCTGTGTAACCTCCATCACTCCGCGTACTTGGCTTGTGTTGTTAGAGAGAGATACAACGTGTGACTCAATGGATGGTTGACAGTGGCAGTGCAAACGTAAATGATCTGAGCAGAAAGACAGGAGATACGGGAGGAAGAATTTGAAGAAAAGGAAGCAAGAAGATATCAGAGAAACGGAACACAATGGAATTTGAATGTAATGAAACTGCGCCTATCAGCAATGAACACCAGTGACATTGGATTGACTGCTTTTGCCAACAGCCGAACAAGTTACACAAGAATCGATATGAGAACTAGATTTTTGCAAATCTAACCGTTACGAATCGGAGTTTCCGATTTAACTGAGTTAAAAACTCTGTAATATTTTAACCAGTTATAAAATACACTACCGGTAATAAGACAACTACACACGACCATATAAGATGTTCTCAATTCAATTACACTATCACCTAATGTTATCTGCTGTAAGTTGCCGCAGTATTTTGAGCTAAAATTGTGTTGATATGATGACTTTTAATCCCCCAATAAAAAGCCATGTATTTGTGACAGTTGAGAAGCCCTAGAAATCACGTGATCCTGCAGCCCTCCGTTCGGTCCTGCGCCCAGTGTAACCCTCTTAGCAAACGTCGATTTGCATATATTCGATGCCTACCCTGTCATTAAACTTACCCGTTTGGCCCTCCTACAAGAATACGAGGGCTTATTTAACATATATATTTTCGCGCCGTGCACCCCCGCTCTTCAACTACCTCCAATGTCACCCTTTGTTCTTCCTTATCTGCATTTTCCTCTCCCTCCCCCCTGACCCACTTCTCCTCATTCATATCGAATCTACTACTGCCTCTCACGTTTCTACAAATGTTCCTCGTGATCCCCCCAACTGTCGTCTCGCACCTCCCACCCAGCAGTTAAGAAGTCTACTAGCGGAATACCTCTAAACCAAACGCATACCATGCATACGAGACCACAAACACCCGAGTATTCAAGTGCAAGAGAGAACACAATAGCGAGCAGTTTCACAACACACACAGAACGCACACTGCTGCGACCCGTGTGCCGTTCTTTCCCGGCGTGACTGAAAGTGGCCCTCCCGTAGTCAAGCGAGAGATAACTCTCGAGCAAAACATAGCCTCTGCACATACGTCTAATAAGGAGACATGCCGTATAGCCCGTAGTATTATCGCCACACGAATACACCCCCGAACGTATATCGCAGCGAGGCAAGCCACAGCCCTCGATTATCAAGGCATCCGGCAACATAGACGAGAATGCACACAAGACCCGAACATATACTCACATTATACTGTTCTAAACCCCCATTGAGCCATAATTGCATGCCCAGCAGGCGTTTTTAGTCTACACGACCCGTGCTCTGAGAGCCCGGCCGCCTATACTACGCTTGTCTACCCCTCACCACCACATCAGAAACCTATTGGGCGGCAATACATAAGCAGACCAGCAATGCAACTCGTCACCCTTCAATACAGCACTCAACCAACTAGAAACGCTATAACTCTGTGACTATAACCCGACCCAACGCACGCACCTAACCTTGATGTTATGGGTTCTATGAGTACGTAGTTAACCGATAGCGCCGCCACAAGACACCCGCCAACTACCAACACAACCATGGAGAGAGCGGCAGTAATACTTTGCCCGAGAAAGTGACAAAGCGCCTTGTCTGCAGAAGCTGAACGACTTTCAGCCACGAGTATAGTCGCGATGATGACTTGTCGATAGGCCATGGTGCCGACCGATAACTAGAGGCAATAACAAAAGTACAGCGGGTATGTGTGTCATATCCCTGCTCAACTCTATCTCAACAACAGGCAACGTAAGGGTTATGAAGACAAAGGTATCACCGCAGAGCACGATACCGCACCACGACAGGTGAGAGGGACCCACCCAGTAATACCTTTCTATGTACGGTTCTCAGAGACCTGATCCTACCTATACCCTACCGCCCTCCCTACGAACCCAGCCCCTGCGTATCGAGAGAGACGCAGCGCTGTAATCGCGCCGACCAGGAGAAGTGACAATGTTGAGAGGTACAACTAAGATGACCGACGTCCTCCATTCCGTTTATTCGTTATCAAAGGCCACACAAGATCAAATTGGTCACAATCAAATCCTTCCTACATCCCCCTTATCTTCACGACTAACTCTTCTCACATTACTTCATTACCCTGCACCTCTGCTGCAAACGATTCGAGTTCCTGAAACGTTATTCCTGGTCTCCTGAAACTCCGTTCTAAACTACATATCTCAGCTTTTAATGTACGAAAATTGTGTCAAATACGGCAGCAGGCTTCCTTAGCTAAGACTTTAGATTATCGCGCCACCGATGTATGCTGCGTCTCAGAAACGCGCATACAGAACCTGAGTAGCGTCATCCAATTGACCTCACCAAGTCAAGATAAAGCAACTCTTCGTGTATGAGGTAGCCCTGGATAGAGACACTCGTCGTTGCCTCTTCGTCATATCTGCCTACGCTCCCACTGACTGCAGTTCAGACGATGTGAAAGATGGGTTTTACAGAAAGCTTTCGGGCCTCCTCCAAAAGTTAAGCGCTCTGATATAGTTATAATGACTGATGACTTTAATGCTCAAGTAGGTAGACTGAGTGAAAATGGATGGGTGGATCTTATGGGGTCACGTCTCAAAGGACAGAGAATGGCGACCGTCTGCTGCAATAACCGCCTATTTCTAGCAAACACTAACTTCAGGTATAAGAAAAAGCATCTCTTGACATGGCGACCCCCAAAGGCGTTTCAACGCTGCACCCAACTAGATCACATTGCCATCAGCCACCGATGGAGGAGTTCGATAGAGGACTGCCGCTCGTTCTGGGGCACACGCTTAGATTCAGATCATGCCCTAGTGCGAGCGCGTATCTATTTGAGGCTTACTGGACTTAGGGAATACACTGCAAGGAATTCTCTTAGGGTCCTACCTAATGATAGAAGAGCTATGAATATATTTCAGGAACTAGAAAAACAGGCGACAATGTAAGTGATCCCCATCCGGAGGCAGGTTGGAATGATATCCGAAAAGCTGTGGAAACAGCAGTGACACCTTAAGGCTAGAATGAAGACGTGGATCTCAGTAGCATCTACCGAACTAATGGATGCTCGAAATCTCATCCCACCTGGCTCTGAACATGATGGGGAGCGAAGTCAGCTTAAGCGCAGGCCGATAAAAAGTCTACGCAACGACCACGAGCAGTGGTGGGTGGCGAAAGCGATGGAAAAGGCAGCGGCAACTGGCAACAGTAGACAACTTTTCCGCCTTATAAAGGAAACCGGTATGAGAAATCCATCTGCTACAGAAACTATCGCAAAAAAGGATAGGACTACTACTCATTCTCAATCCAGGAGATTAGATCGATGGACAGAACACTTTAGGGATCAGTTCAACTGGCCTTCAGCCACACTTCAGTTAGCCACGATCTCTAGTCAACCTGAATGGCAAATCACACTACGACAGGCCCTAGAACACAAACATACATTTAGGCATCCGACAATAGTAGTCTTCTTTGTCCTCAAGGCGGCATTTGACTATGAGGATCGCGAGGTTTTGTGGCAGTGTCTGTCATCGAAAGGTGTACCAAAGAAGTACATTAAACTTATACAAGCTCCCTACACGAACACCACTGGTTGGGTGAAAGCCTATGGCGAAGTGTCATCGGAATTCTCTACTTCACTCCACTCTCCGTTCTTGTAGACATCCTTTTAGAGTTAACATCATCCTCGTCCGATTTTTCAGGTGTCGACCTTCTACAAATCCTAATATCCATTACTAGTAATACTTCTACTATCTCTAACACTATGGGATTTGAATTGACAATTACATTTCTGTGCTAACGTGGTATGTCAACCTGAAGTGATGTACTTACGTACGAAGTTCTACGTTGTAACTGATTGACTTGTTGATTTTCAAAACTTAACTACGAATGGCTAGTACATTACACAGAGTTAGTCTAAGAAGTTGTCAACCATTAAAGTAAGTCATGTTGGCAAAGGCACAAGATCTAGAACTGGGGTCAGAACTATGCTTGAAGATGATAGGTGACAAGGCTTATGACAAGTCAGAAATTCATATATATTTTTTACTACCCCACCCTTAAAGTTTTGATACCTAGTAATATCGCACACAGCATTTTCTTGATTCCTTTTTCCTATTCAAACTGCATTCTTTAAAATGAATTTTATCTGAATATCTTTGAAACTATTAATTCGGTTTTTTAAGCGCTTGCCATGTGGATTTAATCTTGAAAACGTGACGTGATACAGTGACTTAGGATAACCCACAATTTTACTAGGCTTTACTCCAAGATGAGACATTAGTAAATATTATTAGTGTTAGTTAACAAGATGTTAACATGTAATGCAGTGTAAAAGAGACCTAAGAGGACTTTATGGGAAAGTTGAAAGCAGAAAACGATCTTGATATCTACCAAGCGTAACTCATATATATATTTAAATCATAGCTTTAAGCAATCGATTTATATAGGTTTCTCGATTGCCGAAATCACCACCTTCAACAAAGTGCTTTCCTTTCTTTCGAAAACCGCCACTAGGATTATTCAACTTGAAAGTCCATAAAAAGGCGACAGCATGTTTAAAGTTTGGTCCAACTGTATATATTTCATGTACGAGGTCCTCAACACATATTAAACCAAGATGTCCAAGTTTGTGTTGGATTAGCTCGTTTGTTAAAGGCAATCGTGTACCATGGTACTTACAAAATCCACGTTTATAAATCAGCTGCCGAATAATTTTAAGACTAGGATAACCCCATGCGACGTAAGGATCAATTATTCGAAGCATGTTAAGAGTTGCCTATACAATAATGATGAACGAATAGTTAACATTACCTTATTTAATCGCACAAACATGCCATTATTTATTTGTCGAAGGCGAAACAGTTGCATAGTTTTTCTTGGTCGTGGATGAACACCATTAATACCCCGGATTCGCACGACAAATGCGAGTTTTGGCTCATCCGGAACGTAGAAATCTCCCGCCTTTTTAGCTTTACGTTGCAATGTGATTTCCCTCTTCGCCATTCTGCGGTATTCCTGAAACAGTCAAAACAACAAACAGAACTTACATGCATATACTTTTCTGCTCGTTTCTTCATGAGCGACTTCAACTTCATATATGTTTGTCGTCGTACTACCTTTTTACGAGCTACGGTAATTATCTTCCTTCGTCTAATCTTTTCCTTCAAACGGAGACCTTCTGGTTTTCTAGGTCTTTTGGGAGCATCTGACTTGGTATCAGTTTTTTTTCTAAAATCAAACAAGTGTGGTTGGTTTAAATGACAAGCATACTGCTTTTGGAAAAATTAAAAGACCATAAGCAATGACGATAAAAATATATAAGCTGTAAGGATGAAATGTCGACAACTAACACCTTGGAAATCACAGTTAAAAATGGAAGTCTTCAAGTGAAAATGTAAACTGCTTGAAGGTTACTATTATTTTCTCAATAAAGATGAGGATGTTAATTGTAACTTGGAATGATACCGACAGTGTATAACTCCAAATATTGCCTAAACATCCGAATGCCTGTGTTCGGAAAGATTTCGGATTTGTGAAATATCAGCCCAACCATGTTTGATAGAGGAAATGATCAGCTCTAAGAAAGAGAGCTTTGAAGTTAGGAGTGGAATTCGCTTATTCATAGGGTATTCGAGCTGATTTCAGTTCGTAATGAGGACCTAAACTTTTAAATTTAAATCCAAAATCTAGTCTGCCGTTAATTTATGACCCTCTTTAGACCCTAATATGGAGAATTTGCCTTGTCATTCTTGGTGTCGCTTAAAGGTTTTACCGAAATTAGGAAAACTAGATTGGAATACTGACATAATTCAACTGGATAATGCTACGGGAAAGACATATAAGACAAACATGACAGACAATATCTGAAAAGCCCATTTAACTTAGAGGATAGATCAAAAATATTGAACGTGTTGTTAGCAAACCCGTTAAATGTGTTTTAATGCAGCAACACAATAATCGGGAAGCAAATCAGATACTGACGTCTTTTGAATATGGTATTATGTCTCAAGCCACTCAGAACTTGCACAATGAAATCGTGGGTAAAATTTGTAACCCAAATGACAAATGTAATTTAAGACTACAAATTAGGTAAACAGTAACAAGTGCAAAAAAGGACGGTACAATTGTGGAAATTCTAATTATACTCAAAGCCTACATCGAATTGTAGAATTGTAAGCCAGATTACAGAATGCTAGACTAAGACGCACGACAAACCAGTCTGACCATAGATGAATCCGAGAGGTTTTATTGAAATTCTTCAACTGTAAAAACAATTTTTTGTTTTCAATTAAACATTATAAAATGTCTATAGTTAAACTGCAGATTAAGCATGTGATTCTAGATATGAATTGCATGCTGCATATGAATGACAGCTTACACATAACATGATACAAATGCAGTATAACTTAATTATCGCAAAATACACATGACGATTATTCTTAAGCTAACTGCAAGAAACTCGTAAGGATGGTGACGAGTAGCTAAAGCTAAGATCTAGACAAACTGTCAAAGATAAGCATCTTAACTCGTTATTCACCTATGATGACTCAAACAGCATCATAATTGATCTTAACATAGAATTTGTAACAATGTTTCTGAATTCATGAAATTCTCGTCTACTTGGGACCTTTATGCCTTAAGTATGCAGTACTTTTAACTTGAAATCTTTACACTGGCCATTAGACATGAACAAGAGTAGCAAACACTAGTTACATTTAAAAAGTATGGTGTCATATGGACTTACACTTCTGACATTGTTAGCTCACGTTGACACCTGAGAAAAGAAGCTGTCACGCCTAGGATTCAAATGCGCAGACTAGCGCCGACTACAGAACAATTCGGCGTCTTCAATTATCAATCTTTGTTGAATAAAAATAGCCTTAAATTAACTTTGTGGAACTGTAAATATTTTCAGAATTCAGTCAACTTTATATATAAATAATCGAATTTTCAAGGTCAGGAGAAAGTTATCTTTATCTCAGGCGAAAGCATGCACTAATATATGGTTGTCGAATGGTCCGTATTAGCTACTCCTCTGTTTGTAATTTATACACAACTTTTATTCACAAATTATTGTCTAAGTTAATGCTTTTCGCTGAAGATGTCAAACTTTAGGAGGCAGTTTGCAAACAAGTCGACTAACTGCATCATCTAGAAGATCTGTCATGACTTAAGGGCTTGGTGGATGTTAAAGTACTTACTTTTAAGACCTGAGAAAGGCGATTTGTTTACTCGTAACATGTTGCATAATACGCCGAAATCTTAGGAACTACCCATCTAGAGGTACCCCGAGTTGAAAAAGATTCAGCACAATCCAGCAGTTTATCAGGGTGTAAAACTATATGTACCACTCGAAATAGACTTTTTCAACGTTCATACGTTAATTAAGGTCTAATAAGAGAATTATTTGGTTATTTGTTTATAACGTCTTAGAACCATTGTCTGTGACTTATTCGTGACTGTATTCAGAAATCTGATGAAGTACTACGAATTTTCTCTGCACTTTTTGCTTCGTAAGGCTTGTTGTGTGTGTATCTTAGGAACCTGTGGCATGCTTCAATTTTGGATGCACCTTGACATACTGGAACTCATACACAATAATGGCTTATTCCTATCACGAGTTGAACGACCTCAAATATGTATGCTTGACAAATATAACAGTCGATCAGTGCAATGAGAAGACAAAGACTACCAGAACTATGTGAAATATTAAAGCAATACTTTTAGAAAATCTAACAACACATATACTTGATGGAAACATTTTTATATGAGAAATAACAGGTCAAATAAACAAACGGGGAATAAGGTTCAAAAAGATAAGTAATGCTTAACTCACCACCCTGGACAAATAGACGATATTATCAAGATAGCTATGGGGTTAAAACAAAAGGTTTTTGAATATTTAAACGGTTTTGGAACTTGCGCAGGATCAAGGCTTCAACAAATCTTAGTATATGCCCTTAAACACCGCTAAAAACCGAGTTAAAATCAATTTTTCGGCCTCTTTTAACTGAGTAGTTGTTAATAGGTCTATGCATGCTTGAAATTCGCTGGTATTTGTTTCGGCAGACAATTCGACACAGATTCAGATATCCTAATCTGCAAATCACGAATACACTTCCCTATGTGTGTTTGGTCGCGCACACGTTTTAAACTGCCGAATACTGCAGAATAAGATGCAGCAGTTTTCTTAATTTTTATCTTTTTAATGAAGCATGGAAATCGTTTGTTCTACAATAATAATCCTTGCCGCGCGGTATGGGCATCTATTCTCTATAGGTCTTTTCGCCTAACCTCTAAACTGCTTGTTAACATAAACAGGCTGCTTTTGCGCTAAAGATGTAATAGGTATGGCCGCATAATGATCCTTCTACCGATTTATGGATTTTAAAGAGTAGCCATCTATTATTGGCGTTGCTCTCAACAACCTCACTTCGTTTACAATAGCGCTACTCGTACAAACACAATCAATCCTACTAAATGACTCATCCATTAGAACCCGTTGTTATTGGACTGACCAATAGCTATGATAACAAAGGTTTTGACTTATTCAAGTCAGCTTTCTAAAAATGGACCGTTTGAGCAAATCATCTTCTAGTCTATTTATAAGTATGTTTGGAAAAGGAAATCGATTTTTTGTTTCATCTCCATACGAAAGGGTGATGTCGTTTTCGAGAGTTCAACAAACGATACATATCCTCCTCATTATCAAAAATAACTAGGTTATAATCACCATATACTTAAGAAAGTTACATATTTTCAGTCAGATCTTTAGCAACTTTTTCAATATGTGCCATATGCACATCAGGTATTAACGGACTAACCATAGCAATACTATCGATGTAGTGAAAGGATTCATATACAAAAGTGAACTGGACAGCATGCTAAGAAGTAACCTTTAATCATTGTTAAAGGAACAAGTAATGTAAGCTTGTTTAAAGTTTAAGCTGTTACGTGAAATAACAATCGTCTTCTTTAAAGGTAATTTCTGGGAGATGCAGGTCAGAGAACGAAACACCACAACAATCATCCACCTGAGCTACAAATTTTCTCCACTATCTCAAACTTTCTAAGCAAAATATTTACGTCAAAAGAACTAAATTTCCTTTCCTTGATACTAATATTGTAACCTTCTGCGTATCGTAGTCCCTAGTCGGCAGAATTCATCATTAGAATTAAAACATTATTTCATATAGGCACCATATTTTATAATAAGGCCTTCAAATATTCAAAGATCAAATTCTTTCACTTATAAACTCCGCACTCCACTGAGTCACTGAGAAAGATCTGAAAAAAGATTTGCCACGACTGTACATACATATACAGTGGGGTGGAATATATGACAAAAATTTTTTGAGATCTCATTTTTAAGCGTTTAGTCATTTATTTAGGCCTTAAAACTATGCCTTCTGATAGAATAATACATGCATTTATTTACATTTTATTTAGTGCGTAATTTAAATGTTATAAATATTATCCACACACTTATACACCACTGATATTTTGGTTAAATACTACTAAATGTCAGACTAAAGCCAACAAAATCAGTGTAATTTGTTATAAGCAGAAATAGTGTTATGGCTAAGAAATCCTTGATTTGACGATAGTGCCTCAATACTCAATCGGAGCATTGTTTTAGGAGGCAAAACATGAATTCTGAAGGAATTTGTACTGACACGTATGTTCTGTCCCGCGTCCTTCAGTTTCTACAGAAGTCTGGGAGCTAATTCCGAATCCACCACGTCGTGAACATGCTCCACTTTGAGGAGTGGGATTGCTAATTTTCTATCCTTATCTGCCAATCAAAGGATGAATAGGCTCTTCCTAGGAGTAACCTTAGATGATAGATCACCTCCTTCACCCCCAAGTCTTGGTTCGCACCTACACTCTAAGTGAGGCAGTCCTAAAATGGGGATGGATACAAGCTCTACCATACTACATCCAACACTGAATGGAAAAATGTTTATCTTATTTAGCACGCGCCGCAGAGAGAAAAGTGGAGAGGGTCCCAACAGCGTTGGCACAGACGATCCACGATACCAAAAAGAAAGAACCACCAAACAGACAAGTGATAGCAGGAATGATCGCAAGTGTTGAGAGTCTAACGAAAACTTTTGCAAATATGTAAACAGATTGAAATAAATTATCACAAGGAACATAGTCCAGGTTTTAAAAACCCAGACACTCTGGACAGTTCTGTTGGTACCATTAGAAGCTGGGTGGCAAACCAACCAGGTCCAGTCAACAACGTGCCTCGCCTAAACATACCCCCAAGATGATAGGAAATTTAGACTTTGATTCTTGGACACATACATATGCTGCACTAAGTATCGTTCCTGAAGGTAAAACTGACCTAGGTCGAAAAATGTACCCAATTACAATTCAGGGTGCCTACAAAACTAACCTGGTGGTGTTATGGCAGGGTATGAGAGTATTTACTGAAATTAGTCAGGACACATCACAATATCCCAGTAATGGGGATGATATTCCTAAGACCACCATTTCCACACCTTTTGGACAGTTCAAGTTTGTACCGTGCCATTCACCTGTAGGAACGCGGCATGAACATTTCAAAGGTTTATGAACAATCTACCTAGATATATGTCTCTTGCTCAATGGTATAGGGCAATCCATTATTCGCAAGTCCGGACTTAGCACCACATGAGCAATAAGTGAGAGCTATATTAAAAAAACTAAATGAAAGTAGAACGAACGTATACTCATCGAAGTGAGTCTTCGAAGTCCAGACTTTGGAATTTCTCAGAAACACAATAAGTCCTAATGAAATTACATCAATAAAAATGGAGCTAGAGACCGTCAGGGAATATTATGCTCCAAGTTCCTCACTAATACTTGGTAGGTTTTCAGGCTTCATGGAACTGTTTGTAAACTATTTATGCAACCATCGACTACCTTAAAAGAGAACCGAAAGATTGTACATTTACTTCTGTCTCTATTGAAACTTTTATAGAGCTAAAGAATTAGCTAGCTGTAGAATCTATGTTAAAGTGTTCAAACACGGATTCTTCTCTCTTTAATGGTAGATGCTTCAGACAAAGCAGTAGGTGGTGCGCTTAACCAAATAGTTAGGGATTCATGACAAACGACTGAGTTCTCCTCTGAAACGTTCGTTCCTGCAGAGACGAGAGTTTCTAAAAATCTACCTAAGAATCAAGCATTTCTGATACATATATGAAGGTAGGGCATTAACAGATTGCACTTATCACAAGTCAGTTACTAAAGCGCTGAAAGCTTAAGCTGATAAATATTAGCCTTGAGAGATTTGAAACCTTGAATTCATAATACAGTTCTCCAGGAAAATATGATGTATGATATGCGAAAGGTGACGACAACCGGGCAGCAAATAAATTATCTGTAGAAACTAAAAAAATGAACAAGTGACTATAAATTTTGAAGATTAAGCAGACAAACAGACAGATGATCACTAATTAGAAAACCTACTTTCAACAAAGAGCTCTATTCTCATATTAAGGCAGATTCCATCATTTATCGCAGGTAGTTTGACCTACTGTGACACAATCAAGTTAGTGCATTGAGCAATATTTCCCGAAAGTATGAGAAAAATAATATTTAATAATTTCCACAATTTATCTCGTCCTGGCTGAAAGGCTACCACGAAATTGATAAATACCTGACATACATGGCCTAATGTACAGAAAAATGCATGCAAGTGGGGTGAGGAGTAATCTGTATGCCAACAGTTGATGGTTAACTGGCATAGGAATTCCCCTATTGCAGTTCTCACTCAGTTAAACGCATATTTTTCATTTCTTTATAGAGATTTGGTGGGTCATTTACCGTGCACAAATGGGTTCAGTTATTTGTGCAAATGCATAGACAGATTCACAAGCTTCCCAGTGACCATTCTGATGACCGATGTCATAGTTCAATGTCCAACGCTCTCATTCAGAAGTGCGTGAACATATGTGGTGCATCAATTTCGACAACAACTGATGAAGAAGCTTAGTTTGGATTAGAGCTGTTCCAAAACTTATCGAAGCTTCTAGGCTTTCACAGAAAGTAGTGCACAGCATGATATTCTCGGGCCAACAGAATGGTAGAAAATTTCACCCCCCCTTTAGTTAAAGACAGCTCTACTATTACATTTAAACATAACAGTGGACTCAAGTCCTATTAATTATGTTAGTAATAAGAACAGCTGTCAAAGTTGATTCTCAGTGTCCGGTGGCAGAACTAGTATTCGGAGCGACTTAACGAATACCAGGTAATTCCATCAACCCTTGTAATGAAGGTCAAAAGCTCAACCTAGTAAGCTACGTAGCTCAACTAGGAGATCTAATGTCCAGACTTAACCCGGTTAATGCTGGTCAATGGTTGCGAACTAAATATATACCAAAGGATCTAAGCACTTGCATGCAGGTCAGGACAGGACTGGGAAAAGTAAAAATTCTGCTTAGTCCTCCATTCGACGTGGTCTTAAGATAACCTAAATGTCTCGTGGAACAAAAACATGGAAACACATACACGATGAGTACTAGTAGATTGAAATCGACTTATCTAGATAATGAACCATTGTGTGGTATTAGGCCTTTGGCCTGACAGTGATTACAGAATTAATAAGTCACAGCAATGTTCATCCACATGTGGACCAAAAAGGTTAGATGGACATAACCAATCATCTGAACAGGTATACCTAGCGAGTTAACTTGATCCTAGAAATCGAAACTAAAATCTATTTTCGGTGTATGTATAGAATGCGCCAATTTTTGCTTAGGGTACTGTTTTTTCTAAAAATATTCAAAAAATACTAAACCTAAGCTGTATCATTTGAACACTCGGCCAACTCAAAAGGATACTTACAGAGCGGCTTCGGATCGGATCCAAAAATCTCATCAACAGATTGATAAAATAGGATGTGGGCGAATGCTCGACTTATGAATTTCATGTAATCATATACTGCTGATAATCCTTATCTCCTAGCTACACTACCCAAAATACCGGAGAGGCTAATTTTTTTTATGATATTGAAGCGTTAACAACATCTAAGGTACGCAGAGCACACGTAATCAATCACTACCGGCGTTTACACCATACGCTTTATATCTTTTGAGTTTTAGAACAGCTCTATACGAGACATAAGGGCCTGTGCAACTAGTCAGTCTTGGTTCCGAGAAGTTAGTAGTCAAGATTTTCGTGTATTTTACTGTTTTCGTAAGTTTCGGTGCATCATATGAGATTGGTGTAAATAGTGAAATTTTAAGTTACTTATAGTAATTTGCGCCATCCTCAGGGCATTCAGGAAGCTAGTCGAGCCGTCAAAGGTCCCAACCCTAAAGCATCGATGTAAGTAATTTTGTTCTACGGTACTGAAACCTGTCATCTCCCGGGTGAGGATGGTAGGTGACTTTGGGTTTGATCATCATTGTTCCCTAGAGACTGCTGGCACTAAGTGGAAATACCATGCTGGTAATGCCAAGTATCAGCAGCGTGTTCGGGTAGAGTAACGGTGATGCGTAACTCGTCGGCTTTGAGATTTGAAATGATAGTCATTTTGGCTAGTTTCACTGATCGGAAAAGTGATCAGTGTACGGTGCTATGAGAGGAGGCTGTATTGGATTGTTAGTGCTCCCTTCTCGTGGTCCTAGAGGTGGTGCGACTCAATGGCTTGAGGCTTTATCAGACATGGCTTAGGATAGAAATCAGAGGCAAATCTGTTGAAACTGTCACTATATCGGTGAGAGTAGCTTTTCCAACGGAAACAGTGATCCCCTTTTTTACAAGTGCGTTCAAATAAAAGCTTACTTTCAGCATTCACTTAGGTAGGCAAACACTGTTAGACAAAGATCGATAAACAAATACACATGTCATTTAATTTTCGTATACTACTTCATCTAGGTTTCATCCTAATTAAGCGAAAACGGCAATAAGAAAATAAATATGGATCATATATTTTTAGGTTTAAAATCTAACCTAATACACTTGGTTGTTTCATGCCATCAAAAGACTCAATGAACACTTCAATTATTCACAAAATTTGTCTCTACTAGTAGACACCAGCATTCAATAATGTTAGACCACCATAATAAACCTGGACGGCCGTTTCGTCCTAGTATGGGACTCATCAGCAGTGCGCATTCATGACTCCTGTTGCCTATAATGAACATTATCATGTGCTCACTAGTGACTAGATCCATGCGAAATCTCCTTTGAGTTCTAGTAAGAAGTCATGACTAGTGGAGTTCAACCCTGTTCGAGTGTGAAGCTATGCTCACCCACAACAGTGTATGAGGTTGTGCTAGACCGTCAATTGACCGCAGTTACACATTAACACCGTTAGATACCCGTCCAGTGATTAGGCGTTCAATGCACGCAAGACTGAAAGTCCTGGGTTAGAATCCTACGAGTTGCAGGAGTCGTGGATGCACACTGTCACTGGTCAGTCCCATACCAGGATGAAATGACTATCTTTCTATGTTTCCAGGTTACTATTAGTGCTGGTCTAACTAACATTGATCGATTCATGATTTCAAAATGTAATCGTTAAAAAGTTTGAAATGAATAACTTAAGTCATGTTCAAATTGACCAATAATACGTTGCCAATACCTGTATACATGTTATAACCTTCTGTATGATTCCAAATGCTAACGTATAAAAGAGAGTAGCTGCAAATGGGAATAATACTATTCTAATGCTCCACACTAATCGATGCAATGTTTAAATTGATAAGTTACTCTCTCTCACAAAAAATGTACATTTTACAGTTAGTCAGTCAGATGCAACGTAGAACTTCGTACGTAAGTACATCAGTTCATGTCGCCATACCACATCAGCACAGAGAAGTAATTGTCAATTCAAATCTAATAGTAGTAGAGGTAGTAAGGGAATTAGAAGTAATCGGAGAGGTTAGGATTAGAAGATATTATTCAAGAAGTATGATTCAGTGAGAAAAGTTTATAAAGTCAAAAGTAGAGGTGCTGAAGAATCCAGAAGATTAGGATTTGAGAGAACACAGAGAATAAATGCACTGGCGCCATTCAGAACGATTTTGAGCTATGTCATTCAAGGTCTCTAACCATCGATTATTATCATCTCGTGGACCCCAACCACGTAGTCGACAATTACCGACATGGCTAAGTCCACTTGTCAATGACTTCATGGATTTATGCCATGTTTTGGCTTGGCCGCCAATAACTTTCTTCCAACCTAATCCCACACTACAAAACATAGCTCGTCGAGGCAGTCGGTGGTTAGGCATTCGTAACACATGTCCCAACCACCTCAACTGATGAAGTTTCATTACTTCATCTATTGACCTGCCATCTCTACCTAGCACCCGATTGCTAATAACAGCGTTGCTCACTCGGTTGTCCCACGGTATACGAGCAATGCTTCGTACATTTCACATTGTATAATCGTTGTAAAACTTTGAAAACTGATACAAAAAGTAACATTTTCAAATTAGAAATAATTAGCTGTTGTTATTTTGCACTTCTCTATTACATGGTTACATGGTTACAATCAATGTACATTTACAGACATGTAAAAATTATATCATTCAATAGAGATAGAGAGAGAGAGAGAGAAAATAATAATAATAATAAAAACATCCATTGACGCGAGAATTTCAATCTAAAAACGAAAAAAAAGAGAGAAGAAATGAAGAAAACTCTAAAATGTAAATCAATTGTTTCACTTGTGTGTGTATGTGTGTAACCTATTTTATTCTATTGAACATGTGAATTTCACTGAACTATGTATGAATCAGGGGTGAAGTAATAATCTTACTTAACTGACATATGCGGTTATAATAGTAGTAGTGTGATGGATACTAGGTAGTACGCAGCGGAGTATCGCTTAAACGTAATCCTATCAGAGGGATAAGTGTCGGATCCGAAATACATGCAGAAGACATATGACGAGAAGATAGTCAATAATCTGTTTGTTTTGCAAGTGGAAGTTTGGAGATTAGCTGCTGTTCAGTATTGTGTTAATCAATTGTATCTTGTCTAAATACACTACTATCGATTACAGTAGTAGTAGTAGTAGTATAGTGAAGGAGAACACAGGTGAGGGCAACCGAATTTTATTTAACGAAAATTACAGAGTTACTCAGTAAAATAGGAAAACCATATCGTAAACGGTTAATTTGCAAATCTTCAATCCATCATCAATCCATTGTCTGACATTTCACTATTCATGCGTTTCATACAAATTCCATTGTGTTCCCACTCTTCCTTTCTTGTTGATCTTCCCCCATCTTCTGCTGTCAGACATTACGTTTACACTCGCGTCATATACTACTTATAAGTAGCGCGCACCACAGTAGTAGTAGTACTGCAAACAGAAAGATCAGAACTAACTACTACCTCGGCGAGAATGGCATTGCGCGACTGCATCCATTTTTTTGCGGTAGGTAACTCTGTCTACACCAGGCAGAGTGGAACTTCACTAGTCACTGCTTCGAGAATTCCTTCATGAAGCTATTCACCACTAGTAAACACATGATAATTGTCATCATGGGATTTTTAGTTTAGTTTGCAAATCTATTATTGATCAACATCTTCTTGCTTTAATTAATTAGCGAAATGCTGTATTCACCATTTAGTGTAAACGGGAGTAACAAATTTATCAAATTTGACCAAGGTTGTTATTACATCTGTGACGTAATTCGAATAACTGTGTGAATATCATTGATAAGAGATACATTTGTAACCATGAATCGATCAATGTTAGACCACCATTAGAAACCTGGAAGCACTGGACGGCCGTTTCGTCCTGGTAAGGGACTCATCAGCAGTGCGCATCCACGACTCCTGCACCCCGCAGGATTCGAACCCAGGACCTTCGTATAGTGCGCGAACGCCCTAATCGTTAGACCACTGAGCCGGTATCTAACGGTGTTAATGTCTAACTTGATCAAATTCACGGAGTTGCGCAACCTCATACCCTGTATACATCCGAACAGGTTTAAACTTCACTGGTCACGACTTCCCACTAGAACTCGGAGAAGATTCCTCACCAAGCTAGTCACTAGTGGACACATGTAATCGCATGTTTCTGCAGGTTTCTAATGGTGGTCTAACATTGATCGATTCATGGCTACAAATAAAACTTAACAATCTTCACAACAACCCCGCAATGCGATAAGAGTTATGTTTTATACCGAAAAAAACTTACCAATGAGATCCGAGGCTAACATTTATACATTCGACATAATGGTGCTTTGTAGATCATATTAAGATCGATTTTTGGACCAATCAAATCACGAATATTTTTATAACCATAACGAATCATTGTTGGACTAATTGAGAAGGAAAATACAATTGTGAAAACCCAGTATAGAACCTCATGAAAAAATATGTGTTTAAGGGTTAAAAGTGATATATTTTGTAAGAAAACACGAAAATACCTATAGTGAAAGACCAAAATGCAGCTGATAAAGATGAGATATACGCTACTAATATCAGTGGATCCGTTTAGAGTGTTGTCACCAGTACTGATGACCTAGTGTGTGTGACAAAATCTCAGATCGGATATAAAAGGCTTGACTGGTTTTTGCCAACTTGCGTCACTTATTGCGTACGCGAAATATCCGTCTAACAACCAAAAGACGAGTCTACTGTACAGCACTTTGCTTCGTCCTACTCAATGCATGTGAAACATGACCAGTAAGGATAGAAGATACTGGCAGATTACTGGCCTTCGATTAAAGGTGTCTTTGAGTAAGCAATGCTATCGTTAGGGACCGGGTACTAGGTAGGGATGGCAAATCAATTAGTGAAGTAGTGAATCTTCATCATTTGAGGTGATTGGGACATGTGTCACACATGCCTAACCATCGACTGCCTCGACGGGCTATGTTTTGTGGTGTAGGAGTAGGTTGGAAGAAAGGTAGGGGCGACCAGATCAAAACATGGCACAAATCCATGAAGTCACTGACAAGTGGACTGAGTCATGTTGGTAAATGTAGGCTACCACCTGGTTGGGGTCCGCCAGACGAAAGTCGCCGATGGTTAGAGATCTTGAATGACATGGCTCAGAATCGTTTGCAATGGCGCAGGTGCATCCATTCTTTGTGTTCGCACCAATTCTAATCTTCCGAATTCCTTGCTCTTTTTCAACTTGTTTTACTGGATTCTTCTTCTTGAATAATATCTTCGAACCCTAATCTTCTGTATCATTGCAAAGACTCCTAGTACATATACCACTATGAGATTTGAATTGGCAACTCCATCAGTCTGTGCCAATGTAATATGGCAACTTGAATACTGGTGTACGTACGTACCAAATTCTACGTTGTAGCTGATTGAGTGACTGACTGCAGTTGTTAAGAAGCCAAATAGTAAAGTTTATTGAAAGAGTTGTATCGGTCAGCAAAGGATTACGAGTTAAGAGAACACAAAGAATGGATGCACCTAAGCCGTCGCAAACGGTTTTGAACCATGCTACTCAAGATCTCTAACCATTGGTGACTTTCGTCTCACGGAACCCAACCAGATAGCCTACATCTACCAACATGACTCAGTCCAGTTGCTAGTGACTTCATGGATTTGTGCCATGTTTTGGTCTGGCCGCCCCTAACTTTCGTCCAACTTATTCCTGCATCACAAAACATAGTTCTTTGAGGCAGTCGGTGGTTGGGCATTCGTAGCATATGTCCCAACCACCTCAACTGATGAAGTTTCAATACTTCATCTATTGATCCGCCATCCTTAGCTAGCATCCATTTCCTAACAACAGCATTGCTTACTCGGTTATCCCAGGATACATGAGCAATGCTTCGGAGACATCTATGATCAAAAACCAGTAACCTACGAATATCTTCTGCTCTGAATGGCCATATTTCACACGCATAGAGTAGGACAGAACGAACTGCTGTGCAGTAGACTTGCCCTTTTCGTTAGCAGATAGATATCTCGTGTACGCGCCATAAGTAAAGCATACTGGCGAAAGTCAACATCTTAAGGTGGTATGAGATATAATGAAATGATATTTAAAAAAATAATTTTTCTAAAAATGTAATAACAAAGAACAGAGTAAATTCAGAAAAAAAAGTTATCTTACCGTTCCAATGATAATCCCCAAGCTATAACAGATAATCCTTCAGGTAATCCCATAGGTCTAAGCATTTCTGGACGAAATAGACCAGAATTACCAATTTCTACCCATTTCTTAAGACCTGAAATTAAAATTCAGAAAAATAGTGTCGAATTTTTACAAGCACATGATATATATCTGTATATGAGAAAATGGTGAGTTACAAGTATCTTGAGGATATGCGGTATTAAGTCGATTTGTAAAGCGGGGTAGAGTTCTCAACTATAACTTACCAATCGAATATCAAATCTCTACAGTAACTGTTACGCCTGGACGTAAACACATCAACTTGATATACTTGAACTATTACGAGTTTACCTAGTCGGAAAACGAGAGCGAGGATCGAGAATCCGGCGACACGACATACTACTCAAATCCAATTATCCCAGCGCCCCCCCCCCATATTGAGTCAAGATAAGAAGACGTGATATGAAGTAGGACAAGTGTTCTACAAACATCCAGAAAGTACGAGATCCGAACCCAGAAGAGAATCAGGATCCCGGACTAGGGATCCGGGACCGGGTCCTTATCGTGGTCATAAAATGTTACAGATAATGTGTATTTATACATTTTGGTCGAATAGGAAACAGCATCGAATTCTGTGACATTGACAGTTAAGACGACCAATAGGAAGTAACATTTGAAATGACATTGACAGTCCGGATGACCAATAAGAGACAACATTGAAGTGTTTGACTTTGACAGTTAAAACGAACATAATTTTGACCAATAAAAATCGACCAATAGGATTTGACCAATAATTCTTTTAGAATATTGGATGAATATCCTAACAGTAACAATCAAGAACCCTAGAAAAAATCGAAACATCTACTATGAACGAACTAGTTAACCCCAAATATTCTGGTGTGGTCGATCGTGAGGAAAGTCACTGTCAGACAAGTACTACTCGCTCTCTTTTCACGGCCAGGATGTGTTTTTTTTAAAACCGAATTCATATTGACGGAAGGCGAATGTCCTATAGAGGCTTTATAACCTGGATAGTAGTTACGGCATATCCACCTAAGGGACTTGGAAAAGCTTTCAAATTAGAGCAATGATACACACAGACTTCAGCATCCTAAAGGAACATATAGCATATAACATTACTGTTAATTAATGGCTATCATAGGACTATGGCTTCTGATATTACTCCTCTCTGTTTCGTGGATTCGACCTCTAGATTAAAGGCTCTTGAGGCTAGTGATCTCTTAAGAAAACTAACTACGTTGATTTGGACATCTGGACAGTATTTATTCCAATCCATACATATTCCCTGATTTATGTGGCATCTGATTAAAGAATTTTTTGTCATAATAATAGACACAAAAGTATTTTTTTTCACACTGGATTATGAATCGAAACTAAAAATTTATTCACAATAGATGAAATAGTAGTGTAGTGAAGGAGAACACAGGTGAGGGCAACCAAAAATTACAGAGTTAATTGGTAAAATGGGAAAACCATATCGTAAATCATTAATTTGCACATCTTCAATCAATCATCAATCCATTGTCTGATATTTCACTATTCATGCGTTTCTCCATACAAATTCCATTGTGTTCCCACTCTTCTTCCTTTCTTGATCTTCCCCCATCTTTTGCTGCCAGACATTACGCTTACACTCACGTCATATATTACTTATAAGTAGCGCGCACCACAGTAGTATTATCATAGTTTTAGGCGCCAGTTGCAAGAATATTTAAACTTTGCCAGCAAACATGACGATCATGACAAATTCATGTTATACAGTGCCGTACAATCGCACTTTTTTTCTGACAAATAAAAAATAACTAAGAGAGAATATTTACACAAAATAATTCAAGATTTAATAAAAGCATAATTTCACTTACCAGGATGATAACTAAAAATTTCCATACTTGGTTCAGTATATGGATTATAGGCTGGTTTAAATCTCAGTTGTGTCAAACCCAATTTAGCGAAGAAAGTTCGAATGACCGCTTTTAAATGGCCTAAATTAAGACCGAAATCAGCAATTAAACCTTCAACTTGATGAAATTCTGCTAGATGAGTAGCATCCAAATTTTCATTACGAAATACACGATCAATACTGTAGTATTTCGCTGGAGTAAATGGATTCTACAATGATACACAATACAGAAAGACAATATGAATGATGATAAAACGGTATATATATATATACATATATATATATATATATATATATATATATATATATATAATTCATTTCTTTCTATGATTGATTGTTAAACTAGAAAGATTACTGACTGGTATGGTGAATACTGAATCACTCTTGATGCAGATGCCTTGGAGGACGTTAACACCTTTACATATCTTGGCAGCATCATCGACAATCAAGGTGGATCTGATGCAGATGTGAGGGCGCGGATTGGCAAAGCAACGGTTGCAGTTCTACAGTTGAAAAATATCTAGAACTCCAAACAACTTTCAACAAAAACCAAAATCAGGATTTTCAACACAAATGTCAAGACAGTTATACTGTATGGAGCGGAAACCTGGAGAACTACGAAAGCCATCATCCAGGAGATACAAGTGTTTATTAACAGCTGTCTACGCAAAATACTTCGGATTTGTTGGCCAGACACCATCAGCAACAATCTACTGTGGGAGAGAACAAACCAGATTCCAGTGGAGTAGGAAATCAGTAAGAAGTGTTGAAAGTGGATAGGACACATACTACGAAAAGCACCTAACTGAGTCACAAGACAAGCCCTCACATGGAACTCTCAAAGCAAAAGGAAAAGAGGAAGTCCAAGGAACACATTACGCCGAGAAATAGAGAAAGATACGAGAGGGATGAACAAAAATTAGAATGAACTTGGAAAGGGAAGTCCAAGACAGTTTGGTTGCTCCATTGGGGGTAACAGGCGAAAGTAAGTAAGTGATGGTGAATGCTACTCATAAGATTGCTTGTAAGCAAGTATGCA